CCCCAAAACCCCAAAACCCCATAAAGTGGGATCGTACTTGGGTATCTGATTAGAATAATAAGGATTATTTAAAATTTGAAAAATGGAACAAGTGTAGGCAACAATTAACTATTTCATCAGAGAAAAGTTATGGTGTTCTATCAGAAGACTCACTGATCTCGTAAGTTATCCTCTCATTTATAAATTTGCATGGAAAATAGGAAATGAAAAAAGGAGCAGATCCAGTTCTTGTATTTTGGAAGGCTTTCGGTATTTTCTAAGAGGGCAGTGTAACTGAGGCCATTCGCGAACTTTCAAGAGTTTAGGAAAGGAGGGAAGTCCAATTCGCAGCTGCCACCGCTCTTATCTACTATCACGAGAGATGCAGACATATCGATTAGGAGACAATCGATACACTTACAATAACTCTTGATGAGAAGGAGTCAATGGCATCCGATAAAGACTTAATCTCAGCTGCCACCTTCTTATGGCACACTCAACAGTTTAAGAAAGCTGGCTAAGTTGTTTAAAAGGTTATGGACAATAATGCAAACTCATTGGCAGCTCAGACTATTAAGGGTTGGATCTACCTTTCAGCCCCCAAAGAAGAATACTAGCAGAAGAGTCTGTAGTTCTTTGAAAATGTGCTTAATGAAGAAGAGGGAGGCAACCACAAGTATCTCGAAGCTATGCTTGGAAGAGCTAAGGTCTATGAAAAGCAAAAGAAGTACGATATAGCTCTGGAAATTCTTAGTGAAGTCAGCGTCTGCTATAAGAGCTTTAACCCTGCTTTCATCGAGAAGTCAAAGATTCATATATTTAATGGAGACTGGGATCAAGCACTCGAAACTATTTAGAAGGTTATGATTGAGGAAAGGTAAAATGTTGAAGCACTTAGAATCTACATTTTCTACCTTTTATCAAGAGAGACAGATCTAGCTTTAGTTGTTGATAAAATGACTGATCTTTTAGAGGCAATGAGACAACAAGAACCTAAGAATGCAGAACTCTACTACAATCTCTCTAGATTATTTGCTAGATTCTGCGGTAGAAAAGAAGTAGTACTTAAAAAGACAATGTAAATGCTAGAATTAGCAATCTCTCTCAACCCAGAAAACTCACTGTTCCATTCTGAAGTCGGTTACTAAAAGCAAATGCTAGGTGACTACGCTGGAGCATACACCACTTATCAAAAGGCAACATCTCTAGATGAGACTAATATGACTCCTCTCTACGGTATGATTTACTGCCGCATTAGACAGGAAATGCTTGATGATGCTGAACAGCAACTAGAATTCTTAAATGAAATAGGAGATTCACTTGGCAAGACTGCTGATCACGTTTATCTGGAGGCAATCATTGAGTGGAGGAAAAAGGGTAACAGAGACATTGCAATCAAACTGCTTGATTAAGCTTTGAACTTACACATCTCCTCTACTAAGACTGCAAGCGGCAATCTCGAGTTCTACATTAAACTGAACGCTGACTTCCTTATGGAACTTGCTTAGGAATATTTAGTGCACTGCGGATCTAAACCAATCCTTGCTAACTCTCAACCACCTAAGTACTTAATTAAAGCCATCAAACTACTTGAAAATGTAACAAAGTAAAACTGCGGACTCACTGATGCACAGCTCTTACTAGCTAAGGCTAAATGGCTAGCTAATGATACTAATTCAGCTCTGAGAGAGTTATATAACTGCTTATAGAAAGATCCAACTATGGTAGAAGCACATGTGCTAGCTGCTTTAATTAACTGTGAATCAGGGAATACTAGAGCTGCTGAAAATGCCCTAGAGTAAGCATTTGCTTAGGATTTCAAGATCAGAGAGAATCCAGTATTCATGTTAATGAGATCAGAAGTAGAAATGAAGTAAGCCAAGTGGGGTGAAGCAGTAAAAACTCTAGAGTAAGCTTATGAGTTACCAGGAGTTAAAGATCAATTGATGGTAGGAGACTCTAAAGCTAAGAAATACTCTTTGCCCTTCGGTCAAGAAGAAAGAGCCAGAATCTTCCTTAACCTAGTTCAAGCTCATTGTGAGAACAAGAACTTTGATGCAGCTAAGAGGATCTTGTCAAGAGCAGTTGGAGAGTTCTCAGGAACTCCAGAGGAAGTAAGAGTGATGCTAGCATAATCAGATCTTGCCATGAAAATGGGAGACACAAAGAAGGCACTAAACATGCTTAAGAAGATCACACCTGATAACCGCAGTTTCGTTCAGGCAAAAAAGAAGCAAGCACAGTTATATCTCGATGAGTTGAAGGACAGAAATAACTACACCAGATGTTACCTTGAGATACTAGATGCTGATGCCTCAGTCAACAACTACAAGATGGTAGCATAGGCACTCATGGACATCCAAGAACCTGAAGATGCTATTCAATATTACGAGAAGGCACTAGAATTAGAGTAAGCAATAAATATTTAAGCATAATCGAATATAGTCCAGATGATAACATATTGGTAAGAGAAGTGGGAAGAGCTCTAGTTATGACTCATGACTATAAGAGAGCCATCAAGTATTACGAGACTACTCTCATGGAAGACCCTAAACTTGTAATTATAGATTTAATGATGACTTCTAGCTTGACCTCAGAACTGATCTAGCTGATCTCTATATTAAATTAAGAGCTTATGAGGATGCTAAGAGAGTTCTCATAGAAGCCTTGAAATTCTTGAAAGATTAGAAACCTGATATTGACATGAAGTCCAAGAATGTTCACTATCTTCTGATGATGTCTAAAGTGTTCTTAGAGGAAGACATGCAGAGCCCAGATTGGAGATTCAAAGAGAATATCGATGCCAAGCAAGCACTTATAGAGGCAAGAGCTCTATAGACCGAGGTAATTGAACTTTGCAGAGAACTGTCTAGCGACAGACTAGATCAGGAGAGGCATCTCGCAGCTGAGATCTCATTCAAACTTGCTAAATATCTCGAAGAAAGAGATGGCAATCTAGCTGATGCCATTACTGCTTATAACGACTGTCTCTCAAGGAAGGAAGATCATCAGGATGCCATATTCTCACTTGCTAGATTATACCAGAATATGGGAAACAATGATCAGTGCACCTCTTACTGCTACAGGCTGCTCAAGATCGATCCTAGCAATCATAATGCTTCATACATGCTTGCTAATCTGATGCTAATGAAGGAAAAGACCGATGATGCCATCCAGATTTACATGTAACTTCTAGACAAGAAGCCAGATAATTTTAATGCATTAGCTTAACTTATTGAACTCCTTAGAAGAGCTGGAAGACTGCCAGATGTTCCAAAGTACCTAGATAAAGCTGAAAAAGCAGCAGCAAGATCTTCAATGGCCGGCTTAGCCTTTACTAAGGGTCTTTACCACAGATACCAAGGAGAGCCACAAGCTGCTCTAAAGGAACTAAATATAGCCAGATTCGATAGTTTCTTTGGAGAAGCTGCCATCTCAAACATGATCGATATATATCTAAACCCCATTAACGACATGATTTATAGTTCAGTCGAGACTTCCGACTATCAAACCTCTCCAGATAATATCCGAGCTGCTTAGGATCTGATCCGTGAGCTAAACAACCGTGGAGTAGATACTTCCATTATTGAGTGCAATGCTCTCATCCATACTAAGAATAAGGGAAGTTTAGAACTAGCTGCTAAGAAGCTTTAAGATATTCTTAACAAAAACAAGGAGTATGTTCCTGCTCTAGTAAACATGGCACTCTGCAAATTCTTATAGAAGAAAACTACTGATGCCAGAAATTATCTGAAAACCTGCCTTAAGAACGAGTTCTAGCTGTAGTTCGCTGAATACTATGAAAAGGCTTGGCTACTGCTAGCAGACTTCTTTATCTCTAACAATAAGTATGATTTAGCTGAGGCTGAACTTGGAAAATGCCTGAAATATAACAAATCAATGTCCAAGGCTGAGGAATTTATGGGTTTTATTAAGGAAAAGGAAAAAATATATGTAGATGCAGCGGGACACTATGAAGTGGCTTGGTAGATGAGTAATAAAAGAAATGCAACCGTTGGGTTCAGACTCGCTTTCAACTACATGAAGGCCAACAGATTCATCGACGCGATCGACGTGGGGAAGGACATACTGAAGGTGTACCCCGAGTACCCGAAGGTGCACACTGATATAATAGCGAAGGCGAGGTCGATGATAAAGGCATGAGCGCACAAGTCTATATATAATGGTTTTGATAAAGTGGTAATCACTTGATCCTATTAATAGTTTATTTCAATATTCATTTATTTGCCACTAATATCTTTCAAAGTTATCTTCACTAAAACTGCCTTAGGGGTTTTGGGGTTTTGGGGTTTTGGGG